TCCCTAAACCCTAAGCTTTAAACCTCGAGCCCCAAACCTTAAAGCCCTAAACTTTAAGCCCCAAAGCCCCAAGCCCTGAAGCTTTAGCCCTGAGCCCTAAACCCTTAAAACCTAAAGCTCTGCTGTCTTTAGTACTGCTGTAATCTTTGGCTCTATAAAGCCCTGAGCCCTAAACTTTAAGCCCTAAAGCCCCAAGGGAAAGAAAGCTTTATCCCTGAGCCCTCAACCCTTAAACCCTAAGGCTCTGCTGACTTTAGTATTACTGTAATCTTCGTTCAATTACAACACATACAGATCTAGCCCCCCCTAATGTTGTCCCTTTTAAATTGAATGTGGGGCCCGAAACCGCGAAATTCAGCGGGCCGGTAGTTTTTACATTTTTTTTGGGGGGGTTACTGTTAGGGGGAAGGGATTATGATCTGAGTCTTACTTCCCAAATATTGTGTATTGGGCTCTTTGGACACCACTTGTTGCCTGAACCATGTGTTCAAATCCTAGATCAGACAAGCCCCAAACCCCAAAACCTAAAGTAGTGTGGGGCTAGGCCGCTGAATCACGGGCCGCATGGAACAGAAGTCTCAACTAAGTAGTTGCCGCCCTGCGAACCGAGACCTCGTCTGGCTGAATCCGAGTTTCGACAGGCTAAAGCAACGCTGCTAACCTATGTAGAGCTAGAGTTCCAATGTTTTGTCTTCAGCAGTACCTTTCCGGTCATCTTCATTTTTCTGGTACCTATTTTGCTATACAACAGGTCCTAATCATAAAACTAGGTGCCCAAGAACAGGGGTGGTGTATGAACCCTATGATTGAACAACAAATAACCTACTACCTCTTCAAAGACTTGTAGGAGGAAATCATAACAACCTCTGAAAAGGTATGCTTTACAGAATTCAGGTAGGTATACTTAGAGGACCACGGGACTTAGTAAGTATGGTTAAACGGTTATATGTATTGCTACCTAGATTAGCTTTTTAATTAGATAATAACTTGTTTAGTTACCTTACTTATACCCCTGCTTTCTCAGTCCCTTGAACTTCTAAGTCCCTAAGGCTCCATGTACCCATACAGTAGATACTTAGGCCTGAAAGGGGTGCCTATATAGGTACTTAAAGGCCTAAGTATATACCATATAGGTACATGGAGCCTTGGGGAGTAGCTAAAGTCTCCATTGTAGTGCCTTGTTTTGGTAAGCCGAAAACTACATTATAGGATCCTAACCATATAGAACTGGTTAACCAAAAAAAGGACCTACCATGGGCACTATAGGTAGCTTCAATTCAGTCCCAAGCGATCACCCAAGGGGCTTTCGCGGACGCCGTGGCATGCGCTGGCGGCCGGTGGTCAACTCTGCGTCCGGGTTGAATTAGGGCTTTGCTTTGGGTTTGGAGATAATGGGTTTAGGGTTGTTGCTTCGGGGATTCTAATTTAAGCTTCGTTTAGGGTTAATGGGTTCAGGGTTTTGGTTTCGGGGATATATATATATATATATATATATATATATATATTTAAGCTTCGGAAAGTAAGGTTTAGGATGGATTAGTGTAGTGGTTCGAGGCTTTAGGTCCCTTCGGGTGTAAGTGACAGTGAGGGCTAAGCATAGGCTCTTTTGAGGAATGTGAACTTCAGGCAAATGGGATTGAAGTAAGTAGCGATTCACGGCTTTGTGGGGGGGGGGGTTCAGGTCAGATGAGATGTTTTTTTGTGTCGTGTTCTTTGTGGCTTATGGTTACTTGTCTGTAGCCGGGATTTATGGTTCAGGATGTGTGGCTTGAGTGGAGGATTCAGGTCCTTTACCAGGCATTGTCTTCGTCAGTGTGTCTGAGTAAGGCACAGTTTTATCTCTTTTTGTGTGTGGCATCTTATGCAGTCGGGTGCTATTCCAGGACTTAGAGTATTGATTAAGACAAACTGTTCTGCTTCATTCCATGATTTGCTCACAAACATAAGCCAGTCGAGTAATCGACTTATACTCTTGAGTTGTCCCTCCATGGTACCTCAGTGACTGCTCGATATTGTGACGTGACATGGGGCGATTAAAAATGTGACGTCTCAACCCCCGGACGGATTATAAAGTGCGTTTCGCTGATGTAGCCAGGTTACTATCTGAGCAGCCTGCTTGTACTTGCAAGCCTGGCAGGGCCTGGCACTTGACCCGATCCCCGTCCTCCAGGTTACACAGTAAGTTGACACCGCCAGTCGACCTAGCGCTGGCTTGTCTGAGTCTGACAGCCGAACACCTAAAACCCGAAAGCCAGCTAAAGGCGCATGCCCTGAAGTTTAAAATTTAAACCGTTGCAACAGCTGCCGCTTACGCCCAGCGGGAATCCGCTTTTCGGAACTCGCGAGTCGAGAAAGGGACGTTTAAAACAAAAAAACATTGCAGATACCGGTATCCCATCATAGAAGACTTAATTAAGCCGAATGCTTCAGGAGCTGGGAACCTGATGAGCTGCAACGCTGCTTCTGGCATCCTTCCACCTGCAGCACCATGGGGTTTAGGGGTGTAGGACTTCCATGTGTTCAGGCGATTGCACAAGTCCTGATGCAAAAAAGGACTTTCGGAGGTAGGGCTGAGGTAGCGTTTCGTAAGTAGAGAGTTACCTGGACTTAAAACAACCCGAAACTTTGGGGTTCTTTACGGGATCATTGCGATTGGATGATCTGTCCTTACTGAAGGGGCCCCGAACCCGTCGTGCAAACCGCTGTAAGCCCGAACTCCTCATATGGTAGAGTTACTTACGAGTCGACGTTCGGGCTGATCCTTGTTGAAGCTTAAAGTAGGTGGGGGTCTTCTGCAAGAAGGGCATCGCATGTTGAAATAGGAGGTGATCCCCAGCCCAGCCTAAGGCAACAATTTTATAAGTCTTTGGCTTCCCGAAGTCCGAGTGGGCAGTTACTTGGTGCTCAGTTCCTTTCAGCGTATATTGTACAGGGTTTCTAGGGTTCAGGGATCCGATGGTGGATTTCTAATGTTGAGGACCTTTTCTATTGGTGATCGATGGATACAGCCCTGCATTACCTGCAAGTACCCCAGACTCAAGGGTCACCCAAAGCAGGTATCTGATGTTCTTATTGGAGATATCGAGTCGTACCCTGAAGACCCTTGAAACCTAAACACCTACACTTACACATTCCAGGGGAGTCGTCTCTTGTAAACGAGCCCCTACTTTGGAGAAGCTCCGAAAAATTCGGGGGTCGGATGCCATTCAAGCCGCAGTTGTCTCAACCGTTCCTCTTTTTGCTAGAAGCGTCTCTTCGTCACTCGGCTCGGCTAGATGGAGCATGTTCCTACATGCCGCCAAAGGTCGATCAATTCGACGTTCATAGGACTGAGATGTACGTGGCTAGGTGCAGTTCAGTCGCTGGCTTGCAATAAAGGTCACCAGAGGTTTACTGCCTTGAGCGTTTTGGCTCCTTCTACAGAACCAAGGGCTAAGCCTTCACATACGGTTTGGTTGCTCGCCTTGGTTCTTCTCTTTCCTTACATGGCACCCTACACTCCCGAACTTGCCAAAACCGCAAGAATTGGAAGGGGTCCACCGTATTATGTACCCCACCATCCGAACCATGTCCCACTCTCTCAAAGCCCCCTAAAGCTGCAGGAAGTCGATCATACCTATTATCTCCATTGCAGTTCGTTTTTGTTGCTGCTCTACAGTGTCCCTAATCTAGATTTGGTTTAAATATCCAGAAAGAACTAAAATGGAGACGTTCGGTAGACTTGAAAGCCGACTCCTCAGCTTTCCATCCCCTTTTCGAAATCAGCAGACCTTCGGGAGGATCTGGAAAGAACTACCCCTGAACCCTAAAGCCTAAGTACCGGACGTCTTTCCATGGACACCCTAAACCCTAAACCCCTGCACTTTACGATGGACTGCTCAACCGAGCTATGTTCTGGATCTTCGTCTCGGTCTTGAGGTCGTGTTATGGGTGTTGGGGCTTCAGGAGTTCAAGCTTGGTTTAGGCATGTAAGGGTTTTGTCGTTTAGGAGTTTCGGTTTTTATCGGGATTGGGGCTTTGGAGTTCTTGAGGCTTCAGCTTCTATTGAAGGGACGAGTTTCTGGACTGCCGGCGAAGGAGCATGCTCTGACTGATGCCATCGAAGTTTAAGGAAGCCTCATGTGCGGACGTGGCCGCGTTCCTGTCATTTCAACAAGACGTTGCTTAGTTATTCAGTAGCCAGGTCTGGACCGGCAGGGTAGGCAACCGCAATCTTCCAGGGAGCTTACACCGCAACACTGTGCCTCTTTGGCTGGCAACCACTTCGTCCAGGCTTTAGAGGGGCCCTTTGCCTTGCATTTCTCCGGCGTTGGTTCTCTTTTCATTCAACATACTCTTGAACGAGGTGCTAACACGCCGCGCATGACTCCTACGACGCATTCAGATGTTATCTGCGCGAAAAAATTCAGTCGGACCCTGCAGCGGCAGATTCTCAAAGCCCTGTCAAGCCGAACCTCAATCCCCGGAGGCGTGAATGCAAATTGAAGCACGGACGCTTTGAACATCCGCAAACGCCTTAAACCCAATAGAATACACGAATATGCCATTGAGCCATGGGCAGGCGCGCCTGCCGTTTTAGTCTTGGCTTGAGAGTAAGTCGCGGCAGCATACAACATGATGACTATACTCGATCATACAAATTCCTACGCATGGGCGACACTGCTGAGACCGAAAAGGCAACCCTTAATCTACGGCACTTTGCACCGTTTCTGAGCCGCCGCTTGTATGACGCAGTTTCTCGTTGTGTCAAGTCAACGGCCAACATGCAATTCATGTAGCTCGTGTGCTGCAGAGCCCTAGCACCGTGCAGCCCTTTCTTTATCTCTTCACCCAGTATATGTATATACATATCATACATAATTATATGTGTGTATAATATATACATGTATATATATATATATATATACATGTAAACCTGCAAAACATCAGAGCCCGGGTGCCCTAGGCTTGAATTTCCGATACAGCAGCACCAACAAACCAGAGAAGCTCCGTGATGCGAGGCCATTTGGCGGCATCAGCTGCCCTTCGGATCGATGGAGGCAGGCCCTCATCGGGTTCCCTACTAGGTTTAGGGTTTAGGGCCCTAAACCCCTATCCGAGTGTGAGCGCCGAAACCCTAAACCGATTCCCTACCCTGAAGATCCACATGTCCCTAAGTACTGTTAAGTCCGTAATTGAAAGCAATCCTCGAGATAGTCGTTAATCAGTGCAGAGGCTTTGGTCTTTTTGGGTGCAAACGTCTCCTAAACTGGCCGTCGTACCTAGAGGGTCGTATCCTACCCGTTTTTGAGGGCACCTAGTTCTTGGGGCTAGGATCTGTTGTAAAGAAAAGTCGGTACCCGAAAAAGGGGGTCGGGTATAGCCTCAAGTATGGGAGCAGGGCTTACGACCCCGGCCTTCACTAGGTATCGGTTTGGGATAATTCCTAAATCCCCTTGTTGCGTAGTATAGAGACATAATCATAAACAAGTTTGGGGACTGTTGAAATCGGTGCCTAATGTAGGCGTCTTCGTTTATTAAGGACATACACGGAGATTTTTCTTAACTATTGAATTTCTCGTTCGGGGAAGTTATTACGGTTGTCGGTTTTGTTTCAAGGTTTGGTTTTGCGTTTATTCCTGTTTTGGGGAAATGTAGGGTTGAGCCACACAGCCCACAACCTAGACCCTAAACGTCCCGTGTAACGCCAGCCAAAAAACTTTCCTGAACCCCAAAACCTAAGAACCCTATAGCCATCCCAAACACAGAAGCCTACACCCCAAGCCTTCCGAGAAACCCACAATCCCGAGCCCCTTTAGATCCCCTTTTTCCCGTAGCTGCACCTACCCTGAATCGCCCGAACAAGAAGGCTTCACTCTCGGAGCCGAGCCCAGTGCATCCCCAGAATCCACCAGATCATTCTACTCGTCCATAGCTTGAAGCATAGGGCTCACCTCCAGCCGACTAAGCACCAAGAACTTCGCCTGGCATGTCCGAGTGCGACCGCCGAAACGCCAAGCAAGTTAGGCCCTGAAACCTAAAGCTCCGAAGTGCACAAGGCCTAAACCCCAAACATTACGCAGTCTGAATCACCTTCTGAGCCGTAAAACCCATTTGTTGACTACAAAAGCAAGTAAAGCCCCGGAACACGATTGCAAGACCCAGAGTTTTAGCTCTGGATTTGCAGCTCAAAGACCCAAGCTCGTCCAAAAATGCCCCCCTCTGCCGACTTTTGTGAAGCCCCACTTGGAGGTTCAGGCAACTTGGTAAGTAGGGCTACTATAGCTATATTTACTCCTAGCCCTCATTGACGTACTTATACCTTAACCCCAAGTAACCTACCCTTCAAAAGACTTATACGAAGAAATCATACTAGGGAACCCTGAAAAGGTAGGTTCCTTAGCGGTCCAGGTAAGCCTACTTACTAATATGGGTCCCATTTTACCCTTAAGCAAACGGCTCATGACCAGATCAACTCTTCCTCTTGCGCTCCGGGTCGCAAAGGTCGCCAGTGCATAGAGCGATTTACTCATAGGCCCCAGAGTAGTGCCTTTTTAAGAATACCTTCCAGGATTCTAAATATGAACCCCAAAAAGGAACTACTATGGGCCTATGGGTAAAGTGGGATCCAGTACTACGGTGATTGATAGGGTTTTCAGTGGTTTTACAAGGTTTTGAGATGTTGGGTTTCTGTGGTGTGGTGTGTATGGTCTAGCTGCCAGCTGTTGTTATGTCAAGAATCTGGGTCCAAAAAAGGATCGGGTGTCGATCGATGGACCTGTAAAATGCAAGTACCTTACTTACATATAGAGCAGGATAATCCCATTCAGGCTGTTTGCAACTCAAACCGTTGTGTTGAGCTACTTGCAAATTCCCCGAGATCCTTGAAACCAAGCAGGGTTAAATTTCCAGCAGCACCGCAGCAGAAGCATCCCATATCCGAAGCAGTAGCGTTGCGAGGTTCCTTATGGGTGATTCAGAACCGACACTGGGGTGCCCACATGTGCAGGTGCTTCTTCTACCGATGGCAATGGTTTGGTCGGGGTTTTGAGGCATTTCCTTATGTAGCACGTGGGATATTGCGCACAGCTTCAGAGTTCGCAGTTTGAGTTCACAGCGTCGCTTGTGCTTAGTACTGATATGTGACTTATGTGTGCTGACTCCATGTAGCCGATGCTGATTGGCGTGCTCATTCTGCAACATTGTTGGAAGTCTCGTGGCTTGATTGGTAAGTGCACTACGTTCGCAACGTGCGTGGCCGTGCTAGAGGACCCTTTGCCGTCTAGCTTGTTCTTTTCGGTGGTTCTGTGGGCGTTCCTGAGTTCACAGTTGAATACATGGGCCCAACATTGCTTGTGGATTGAAGTAAGGCACCCGGAAAGGCGGCAGGGAGACGCCGTTTGGACCCATCCATCCATCCATCCATCCATCCATCTGTGCTTCTCGTCCCGCATTAGGGAGACCCTTAAAGGGGACACTTCTTAACCCTGCTTATGGCTCTCTTAAAAGGGACGTTATTCAAAGGGTTTTTTCCCAAGGATCCCTAAACCCGAAACCACAATCCCAACTCCTATATCAGATGGTTTCTTTAAGAGGGCAACTTGAAGTAAATCCCTTAACAAGAGCCCGGAAACTCTAAACCCTTATAGAGCCCTTCTTAGGAGCTTTTTATGTACCCTGATAGTAACCGTTTACTTACCTTTGCTTAGTAGGGAATGGAAGAATGGTAGTAATAGTAGTCATAATTCTAATTACGCCATTCCTCCATTCCCTACTAACCTTTGGTAAAGATCCCTTTAAAGGAACCCTAAACCCGTATAGATCCCTTTAAAGGCCTTATAGCAACCCTTTAAAGGCCGGATTTTCGCAGGCCTTCCGCCTCAGGGCTTGAAGTCCCGCTGCGACCTCGCGCAGCGGCTGCTGCCGCTCTGGGGTTGAGCCAACCGCAGAGCTCGGAGAGTGTAATATAGGGCTCTATTAGGGGCTACCTTAGGGTCCCTAAACTTAGGGTCCCTTTAAAGGGATCCTTTAAGGGTTCCTATAAGGGATCTAGAGGGTTTAGGGTTTAGGGAGTTTCCGAAAAATAGGGGTACCCTACCCTATTTGGGGGTCCTTGTAATAAGGATCCTACTATTTAGGGTACTATGTTAGGGTCCCCTATTTTAGGAAACTCCCATGTAGGGCTCTAACCCTAGGCATCTGAGGACTTATAATATATATTAAGGCTTTTGGGCCCAAAGATCATATTATGTAAGGCTTTTGGGCTATTTTGATGCCCAGAGTACGGGTTCCTTTAAAGGGGTCTATAGGGGTTACTTACTATAAGGGATCTATAAGGGTACTATATTATATAGGGCATCCTTCAATTAATCCCAGACAAACACAGGGCGCCATAAGGGTTCTAGAAGACATTTGATGGTCGTTTTGGGTTTGTAGGGGTTCAGGGTTTCAGGTTTGGGCTGTTCGTCAATACGATGCTTATTCAGAAGTACCGGCCCCAACCCGTGACTCAAAAAGGTTTGGGCTTTTCATTCAGGGGTTGGCAAGTAGGTTTCCGTTATGATTATAACATTGCTACTGGCCTCGGCTTTCGCAAAAGCATAACCTCAGCCGCCTTATCCTTCAGGCTTGCCCTCAAGCCCTGAACCTGCGTAGCTCCTGAACCCTGAACCGCCGTTACGGCATCTACAAGATAGGGGCCTTCAATAGGGGTCCTTTAAAGGGTTCCTCCAAGGGATTCAGGGACTTAGGGCAGAGTGGGAGGTGCCCCGGCGAGCAGCGGAAAAAATGAGCTTTTGCCGGATTGCAGGTTCGGGGATCATGGCTAGACTTGAGTCCAGTGGGAGGAAGGGGTCGAGGGTTCAGGGGTCTAGGGTTCAGGGTTGGGGTTTTCTTTGGGCAGAAAGGCAGCAATACCCTGCCTGCCGTGGTTGTGTGATAGCCAAGCCATGTTGTCTGGATGCTATACTGTGTGTTATTCAGTAGTCTGTTGGCAGTTAGTGGCGTCTGTCGTGGTCAGGTCAGTGACACTTGGATTGAGGCTGCAGCCGCTCAAATCCTTCAGGTGTTGCGGTTTAGCTAGCTGCGGGGTTAGCCAGGATTTTTCAAGTTTACTGATATTTGCTTTGAAGGTTATGCATTTGTTGGGGGGCTTGTGTTTAAAATGGGATGACAGGGGGTTAAGGTGAAAGCTCTCCATGCCTTTCGGCCTAAATAGCAACTTGATCTCTGCACGAAACCAAAGCCGCACCCCGAGGCCTTTGGTGATAGCCCATGAGTCTCGAAACTCTAGGCTTAAACCTGGAACCCTAAGATTTAAACTGGCTTAAACCCAAGCCTAAGCCCTAGACGATATTAGCCACAGAGGCGTGATCCTTTGTAGTATTACTCACCGTATAGTAACCTTATAGCAACCGTACGGTAGCCGTATGGAAAACCCTAAGCCGGCGCCGAGGTCAGACCATGCCCCTGTGTCCAGGCATTTCAACCGGCTGCTTTCTCAGCTGCCAAAATGCCCAAACGTGGCTGGGGGACTGTAAAGGGATATTTACCTAGACCCTAGCATGTAGTAGCCTTTTTTGGAGGGGTAACCTATGCTATGGTTGGGATTAGGATCAAACAATAAGAGGCCAAGGTAGTCAAAACAAACATAGCATGGTATTGCATTTGGAGGTCTAGGTATATTGAGGATCCTAACATATTTGCGGTATATAGCAGTCCATGTCATTTCTTTTGGAAACTACCACCTTCCCCCAACTTATGAAACGCCGGGCGCAGTGCAGAAAGCACAAGGCACGAGGTAGGGCAGGTCAGCTGTTCAGGGTTTAGGATGCGTAGTCCAGGTGTATCAAGGGCCGCGAGCTTGGGCAAGGTCATGACGCAGATTTGCAAGCGCATGTAGCCTGGACCCTGCTATTCCTTTTCGTCTGTTGCAGTGTATCCGAGTATGGCCCGCTCTCAATGGCATAAGTTTCGCATTGGAGTCTCCAAGAAGTTAGATAAGCGAACACTCGAACGAGCTACTTCGCAGGAAGCCTCATCTGGAGGCAGCCTCTGGCCAGTTGGATCGGAACTCCCGTGACACTTGTTCAGTATTCAAAATTTCCAGACTCCATTAAAGTTTCCAGACCCCCAAAGCCGAAGCTACCTGATTTTTCGTGGGCAGACTCTCTCAGGTGCTTCCAAAAGCTAGATGCCCTCGCCGCCCACTTGAAAGCCCCTTCGTCGACAATTAGCCAGTTGTATGATTTTGTTTCTGGGTACTATAGAGGCCGGAAGAATCACCAATGTCTTTATTGTAACTCTAATTTTGACACCCCCCCCCCCGCCCATATGCGTCTCACTTGGCGGTTTCAGGCCCCGAATATTCTGCCCTGAGGCGCAGGTCCGAAACCCTAGGCACCGTATACCCCACACCCTCACTCTAAGCCCTAAACCCTACACTGGCCCTACACCTTAACTCTAAGCCGTAAACCTCGGCACCACAACTATGAAGTGCGTCGTCCTGGATTCCAATTAGGTTTGGGGCAGAGATTTCAGGTCTAGGGTTTTGGCTCAAGCAACGGTGTGGCGCCGGGGGGTGTTTAAGATACAGATTATGTGGGGCTCAGGGTGCAAATGCGGTATTTTCGACATCCCAAATTACCAACCATGTAGGCCCGGGTGTGATCTACGGCGCAGGATGTTTCCGTACTTAAGGTTCCAAGCCCCTGACACCCCCACACCAGCTCACAGCGCACTAGGCATCACCCAGCGTCGGAGTCGTGACGAGTCCGAAGGAGGCCGGTACCAGAATGAGGTGCTGCAAAAGAGGTTCATGCATGAGGGAATTCAATTTTACAAGATCTCAGTCACGGTGCTTCATTCCAGGGGTTACAGGGTTGTCATATTGCCGAGGCACCAATCCCTAGACCCTTAGACCCTACGTTCGGAGTGTAAGCTCTATGGATCTTCGCAGGCTTTTTGGTTATGACTACGGCCGAGGGTTCAGAACCCTTGGCTTTTGCCGGCTGAATGTTGCCGAAGCACGTGCCAATGACTGAAACTATTGAAACCCTGTGCCGCATCCGGAGTTTCGCCTCACCAGAATTCCTATAAACCCCAAAACCCCATACCCAAAGCCATGAATTCCCGCTGCTCTTGAACTCTTCGTCTGCATCTTGCGCTCCTGCCGGTTGTCCGAAGGGCAGGGTCGCTTCGTCAGTGTTCCGTTCAAAAGGAGCCGAGGCTCAGGGCTTCAGGCGTTTAGGGCTCAGGGTGCTTAGGGTTTAGGGCGTTTAGGGTTTGGGGTACTTAAGGTTTCGGGAAGTAGTTTCAACAGTTGGAGGATCAGGGGACTGAATAAGTATAGGATTGTAAGTAAGGTTGCTATTTAGCTGTATCTACGTAAAAACCTGATGAAAGTACATCTAACCGTACTTACTAAGTCTTTTGATCCTCCAAGTAACTTGGAGCATGTATCCAAGGGTAAAAGGAGGGACCCTTAATAAGGACCCCTAGGTATATACCCTTAATATAGCTATTCTATACCCATTATATAGCCCATTATAGGGTAGGGGTCCCCATTAAGGCATTTAGGGTCCCTCCTTTTCCCCTTTGAATGTATATCGGGCCTGCTTGGGTCTCAGGTTGTTTTTCTTTTTGTTGTGTGCATGCGGAATTTCTCCTGACATGCTGGGAAAATATGACATAACAACACGCACTATAGGGGCCTTAATCAGCCTTAATAATGTATGCTGTTTTGGTGGGGTTCTTCATTGTTCTATACAAGTAGTTATGATAGAATGGGCCCCTATGTATTTCTTCCGAGCACCAAGTGCTCTGAACAAATGGGTGCTTACAGAGATCCTGAGGGTCAGTTAACCCAGGGTGCCCTCATCCCTGCGCAGTTGGTGCAGGCGCAAAGCAGCTCGCGACCTCATGTGCTACTGCGATTGGGTGACCTCCAGGCATTCGTTCACGCGTAAAGCATGTTGATGTTTTCGGTTTGGTCTGAGGCTTAGTTGTGAAGTTACCAGGGCTTGAGGATATTTGTTTTGCGGGCTTGGGCTCGGCTGTTTGCATGGCTTCCCAGGCTGTTGGCGATTGTGTCTGTGGTTCCGTATCACTTGTCATCCCCGCGGGTCGCAAGAAACGCGCGGACTGTCACATCACTTGGCCAGCATGGCAGTCAGTAGTACCACCCGAATGTTCAGGGCAAGTTCAGGGTTCGGGCTTCACTTCCCGGCTGGTCTGACAATCAGGGTTTAGTTCAGGATTTTTTTTCTGCCTTGTCCCAATTTTTAAGATCTCCGAAGCCAGGAACCCCCGTATCATGAAAAAGGGTTGAGTAGTGCGAGTCATGGACCGTGCCACGGTTTTAGGGTTTAGTACAGGATGCCCCTAACATCCAAAACCTCAATCCTCGCACTATCCTAATCCGCACAGGTTGAGGCTAGAGTTGATAAAAGCCCTGGTGCTAGCATCCGAAAGCTTATTACAATGAAGCTCGTTAGCCTCCCGGTAAAACCCTACGACAGCCTGCGTAAAACTTGTTGTAAATCGTAGCTGTTTAAGGCGCTGGTGGGCTTTGGGCCTTGACCCTAGGATGGCATGTCCGAGAGCGAGGAACGACATCGTTCGGGTTTAGTGCAACAGGGTTTTTGTTGCCGCGACTCAAAAAAAAGTTGGTGTTGTTCCAAAGGCCCAATATGCGGCTGCAGAAGCGGCACTGCGAGCTGGCGAGGTCGCAAATTAAGCTTGTCGCTGCTGCCCGTAGACTTTTGCTTTTAGGGTATACGAGGGGTTGCTGTAGGATTTAGGCAGGTTGCAGAGAGCAATATACCCGAAGACATGTCAAGCATCCCTCGGATTTGAAGAGTCCTCGAGAACCTGAGTGGTAACTATTTCATGTTTATGAGCTTTCGTCTTCTTGAGATTCAAGACATGGGTAGTTGTCAAATTAGGGTCCCTTTTTGGGTCCTGAATATAATACAGCACATTTGTGCCGCTTCCTAGTTGAGCTGTCGACTTTTTCCAAGAAGTCTGGCAGTGGAGCTGCAAGTATTTTTCAATAAACACTTCTCCGCATTAAAGCTCTACTGATGAGGCAGTTGCACTACCTATCTTCCAACAGATGAGTATACGATATAAATCAGGGTCCCCTTTAGAGTCCTCTTAATCAAGGTGCCGTACTATTCTGGGGACCTAAAAAGGGGCCTTAATTTAGAGAATTATACCCACATGCTAAACACCAAACCCGAAACCTTAGATCCCATAGCCTAGGACCTAGAGTAGGCCCTTGTTCCCTTTTTTAGGCTTCAGGTTCCCTTATCAGCCCCTTTAAACCAAAAAGGGCACCCTTTTTATTCCAAGGTTATTCTTGTAAGCTTCTGCCCTCGACCCCTAGGATCCTCCCAGTCCCAAACCCTTACTTGGAGGGTTCCTTTAAGGGATCTATATGGGTACTCTTGGGTCCCATAGCCGTCGGACGAGGTTTCTGGGCCGGCGCGAGAGCACCGCAGCCCAGCGCTGCCGCTGAAGCCGAGGATCGGGCTCCAACGATGGGTTCCGTCGGTTTAGCGTTTAGAGGTTTAGAGGTTTAAGTGTTTAGGGTTTAGGCGTTAGGTATTGGGGTTTAGGGTTCAGGGGTTTAGGGTTTAGGCATCGGTTTAGGGTTCCTAAGTTCATACTCGATCCATATGAAGGCAAAGCCCCCGCAAAAAAGCCCACGGGTCTTGAAGGTTAGAACTTTAGAATTTCAAGGTTTAGGGTTCCAGGTGTACTGTCGGGAATTAGTAATTTTGGGTGGTTCTCCGATAAAGATGTAGTACCAACCCCAGCCAAGAACTTGCACTGCTACTCAGGCTGTTATACTGGAACTTACAAGCATAGTTTTAAGCCTTTAAGCTTGAAAGGTTTAGGATATGAGGCTCTGGAGATTAGGCTTGATGTGTCTACGGGTTAGAGGTTTTGGGTGTTGGGGTTTGAGCATGTTTACAGGATGTGGCGGGGCCTGCTATGAGGCTTTAGCGGGTGCTACTGATGCTTTGAGGTGAACCGAGGTTTTGAGACTGATTTGTTAGTGAACAGCAGCAAACTCAAGGATTTCCTCACCTGAGCATCGCAAGTTCGATTGGCTTAATTACTGGGCCTTCCGAAACACGGTCAACACCGAGAATGCTGCTCATTCTTGTGGGTTGTTTTTGTAAGAGTGCTCTATGCGCTCTCCTGGAGATGAGAACTCAATCTCGGTCAAACGGCTTCTTGGCGTAGTGTCGCAGGTTGAGGTGTTAGAGCTCTTGTCTTCCGTATCGTCCGCAGTCAGTGCAGTGCAGTCGAAGTCAGCGCTTGCATCATCTTTTGCTGGTCACGGTATTCGAAGTCTAACCAGCCCTACTCATCCTCATCATCCTTGTACAGCCAGGGCCCGGAATTGAATCAAATCTGCTACCGACCAGTCGAGTGCGCTCGAGAGCACTTAATGATTTGTGGTTTGGGGGGAGCGGGGTGGCCCAGCGGCGTTGTACTCTTGGCTGCTGACGGCTTGCGAGCTTGAAAACTAGTCCGCCTCAGCACCTCGCCGGAACGACAGTCAGACCTTGTGTTTGGTGCTCTCGGCCGTGGTCAGGACAGTGGTCGGACAACATGCGAATCCTACCTAGAGCTTACGCGTTCGTCCCCCTCTCCCTCTCTCTCTCTCTCTTTTTATTTCTCTGTACGTCTTGTTGAATCCAAGTATGTGTTTTGTTTGTGTCTACAGGCTGTACATACATGTGTAGCCGTGCTAGCCCGAAGGTCTCAAGGCCTCCGAAGCTTTCTCGACGCCTAGGCCTAGGTATTGGCAAGCATTCCCACGAAACCCGGAGGTACGACCATCGTGTACCCTGTGGGGAAGCTTTGCCTTTCTTTGCCAAGGAGGAGACCCTCTATTCCTGTTTCGGACCGGGGGTCTAGGACGGGGGGAGGACCCCGAATTTAAGAACGCCCCATCTCTTTCGAGTTGCAGCGTTATAGTTTTTTGGATTCGACATGAAGAGCATCAGCAGGGCACCCGGAGTTTGAATGGGCTTGCTGGAGCCTAGCAACAGCTAAAGCCATGATGCTCTAAGCCACGGCGGGTACTGTCACCTTAAAAACTCCAATTAAGGCTTGTTACATAGAAGTGCACAAAGTAAGACGCCCTATGCGCCCTCATGCATTTTCCTCTGCACTACAACGACGACATGTTTCTTACTACATTTCGGTTTTCTCTCTATCACAGCCCTGGGAAGCTGCTCATTGCGATTTTGGAGGCTCCCCTTCCTTGCAAGCACCAGGAAGCACCCGAAACCCTACAGTAGAAGCCCGAAAGTTGGAACATCATTGTCCTCATGCTCCCAAGGTAAAGTATAGGGAACCCCAGCACTAATCATCCTAGATCCATGTTCCTACTTTCTGGAATTCCCTATACCCCAAGCGTGTCGAGGAACATATCCACCAGCGAGCGCTGCATCCTGGTCTGCTAAGTAGGACATGTCTGCATGACATTTCCGGGTGTCGAGGCCTTCTTCCCAAAGAGCTTTAATTAAGGAATATACCTCAAATCATAATATTTCAGGCCCTTATACTTTAAGGTATATTCCCTAACTAAGGGGTATTGGGATCTCTGGGTTCATGAATAGAATTCCTAATAATCTTGTTCGATGGCGCCTAAACTAACACCAAACATACAAAATACTCGCCAAAGGAGCCAAGGAAACAACGTCCCAGCCAGAGAATTCACAACGCACTTTGTATGCCCAGCGAGCCCTTTCCCCTATGATCAAGACTGAAAACCCTACAGTAAAGCCTGGATTCTCCAAGTGAATGCGCCGAAAGCATGAACAAAGAGGCCCTTCCAAATCGATTATAGTAAGTAGTTTGGGATGAAAACCTCAGATGATAGGTGTAGGACCTTATACACCCTGAACCCCAAAGCATTAGGCTTTTGTTGGCCGCAGGCTTTTTCCTGCGTAGCTTTCAGGAAGTGGGCTTCGAAAACACTTTGGCGTTCGGGCGCAACTGGCCTAGTGTCTTTGCTTAGATAAGTGGCCGTATCGGAATACACCACAACGATGCATTCATGTGGTCCGGGACCGTATTGGGGCTGTTTCTCATGTGCGGCTTCTTGAGATGGTCATAACTAACAGAGGCAGCTTGAAGAGATTCAGCACAATGCCGTGCAAAACGAAGGAGAAATGACCCTCAAACCTACATGGACCCTCGATCAATCCACACCTGCGGTGCTTCTCTGACTATACGGTTTGGGGCCCAACCCTAGACAACGCCAGAATCGTGCTTTTGCGGACCTGGCTGCCGTGAGGGCACGTGAGAAAAATCTAGAGCCGTCATCGGTTGGGTATCCGGAAACTTGGAGCACGTAGACATTCCTGGTACCAATATTCACACTGGAGAGCCGCAGCAATCAGTGACGCCGTTTTTTTGTGGTCAGCCGCCGGAGAACTCAGTTCTCCGTTGCTTTCAGCCGTACACCAAGGAGAATATTAAGGATACCTGCATCGTTTAAGGCGCATTCTCACCTGGTGGAGCCCAACTTTTGTCCTGAACCCTGAAGTCTACACCGGTTCTGTCCCGAGAGCCCTGCGACAAAAGCCTCTCAGGCAGCGACTGCAGCAGGCACGCACACAGATGACGGAGCAGCAGGCATTCCAGGCCGGACTCTGGATACTTCCCAGGTAACCTTCGCAGCTCCTCGACATGCTTACACCCACAAGCCCTCTTGCTTTTGATTCCTTGTGCCCTGGTGCCATGCCTTTCTTTTCTATCCTAAAGTCGTAACTACTCGAATTTGCACCTCTGCGATCTGGAACTCTGGAATAAAGTCCCATTGCTGGACATGTCTGCAAGGAGGACGTGACCATGACCTCACCCGTCGGCGCGACAGGCGGCTTCTGTTAAAGAGCGAGTCACCTTTTCGAGCACTGATTTTTCTGCCGGCTGAAGATTTCTCTGCGATCTACAAAGCCCTTGCTACCTAGACTGGACCCTCGAATATGGTAACCTTTTTGGATAGCTTGGTTTCTCAATGCAGTAGCATAGAATCCGCAGTAATACCGTACGATTACAGAACTTGTAGTATATACTATTGCGGAGGTATTATTTCCGGTAGAATTGTGGTGGCAGGCCCTACCCTTCCAGCCAGCATGCTGGCGGGAGCAGCTTCGATACAGGAGACCTGCATATCAAGCTGTATGCAAGAGACGACACTGCCCAGTTTTGAATGATGTATACCCTAACGCAAAGGTCTACTATAAGGTTACAAACAGGGTTGCTGTTATGGTTGAGGGCAAGGGCTGGAAGATGGACGTTGGTGTCAGGATGCGTACACAAATTTCTTTCGCACGCCAGGACGACCCGGAAGGGCCTGCTATGGCCAGGAACGATGCCGAGCCGGCTGAAACTACGGCAGCAGCAAGTGCAGATGCAGGTGTGAATGCCAAAGCTCGTGCGAACCTACTTAGCGGCTTGAAAGATGGCTCGCTGGACAAGCTGGTGAGCAACATGCCAGAAGAAGGAAAAGCAAGCACAGAGAGCAGCGACACCAAAGCAGCAGCAGGAGCAGCAGCTGGTGACATGCCTGACAAAGGCAAGGCCAGTGTGGATGGCAGCGCAAGCAAGGCAGCAGCGGCAGCGAGTGCAGGTGCCGGTGTGAATGCTAAAGCGCGTGCGAACCTGTTGAGTGGCTTGAAAGACGGCTCGCTGGACAAGCTGGTGGGCAACATGCCAGAAGAAGGAAAAGCAAGCACAGAGAGCAGCGACACCAAAGCAGCAGCAGGAGCAGCAGCTGGTGACATGCCTGACAAAGGCAAGGCCAGTGTGGATGGCAGCGCAAGCAAGGCAGCAGCGGCAGCGAGTGCAGGTGCCGGTGTGAATGCTAAAGCGCGTGCGAACCTGTTGAGTGGCTTGAAAGACGGCTCGCTGGACAAGCTGGTGAGCAACATGCCGGACGAGGGCAAAGCAAGCACAGAGAGCGGCGACACCAAAGCAGCAGCAGGAGCAGCAGCTGTTGACACACCTGACAAAGAGAAGGCCAGTGTGGATGGCAGCGCAAGCAAGGCAGCAGCGGCAGCGAGTGCAGGTGCCGGTGTGAATGCTAAAGCTCGTGCGAACCTCTTGAGTGGCTTGAAAGACGGCTCGCTGGACAAGCTGGTGAGCAACATGCCGGACGAGGGCAAAACAAGCACAGAGAGCAGTGACACCAACACGGCAGCAGGAGCAGCAGCTGGTGACATGCCTGACAATGGCAAGGCCAGTGTGGATGGCAGCGCAAGCAAGGCAGCAGCGGCAGCGAGTGCAGGTGCCGGTGTGAATGCTAAAGCGCGTGCGAACCTGTTGAGTGGCTTGAAAGACGGCTCGCTGGACAAGCTGGTGAGCAACATGCCAGAAGAAGGCAAAGCAAGCGCAGAGAGCAGCGACACCAAAGCAGCAGCAGGAGCAGCAGCTGGTGACATGCCTGACAAAGGCAAGGCCAGTGTGGATGGCAGCGCAAGCAAGGCAGCAGCGGCAGCGAGTGCAGGTGCCGGTGTGAATGCTAAAGCGCGTGCGAACCTGTTGAGTGGCTTGAAAGACGGCTCGCTGGACAAGCTGGTGAGCAACATGCCAGAAGAAGGCAAAGCACGCACGGAGAGCAGCGACACCAAGGCAGCAGCAGGAGCAGCAGCTGGTGACATGCCTGAAAAAGGCAAGGCCAGTGTGGATGCCAGCGCAAGCAAGGCAGCAGCGGCAGCGAGTGCAGGTGCTGGTGTGAATGCTAAAGCGCGTGCGAACCTGTTGAGTGGCTTGAAAGACGGCTCGCTGGACAAGCTGGTGAGCAACATGCCAGAAGAAGGCAAAGCAAGCACAGAGAGCAGCGACACCAAAGCAGCAGCAGGAGCAGCAGCTGGTGACATGCCTGACAAAGGCAAGGCCAGTGTGGATGGCAGCGCAAGCAGGCAGCAGCGGCAGCGAGTGGAGGTGCCGGTGTGAATGCTAAAGCGCGCGCGAACCTGTTGAGTGGCTTGAAAGACGGCTCGCTGGACAAGCTGGTGAGCAACATGCCAGAAGAAGGCAAAACAAGCACAGAGAGCAGTGACACCAAAGCAGCAGCAGGAGCAGCAGCTGTGACACGCCTGACAAAGGCAAGGCCAGTGTGGATGCAGCGCAAGCAAGGCAGCAGCGCAGCGAGTGCAGGTGCCGGTGTGAATGCTAAAGCGCGTGCGAACCTGTTGAGTGGCTTGAAAGACGGCTCGCTGGACAAGCTGGTGAGCAACATGCCAGAAGAAGGCAAAGCAAGCACAGACAGCAGCGACACCAAAGCAGCAGCAGGAGCAGCAGCTGGTGACATGCCTGACAAAGGCAAGTCCAATGCGGATAGTAGCGCAAGCCAGGCAGCTTCAGCAGCGACTGGAGGTGCCGGTGTGAATGCTAAAGCTCGCGCGAACCTACTGAGCGGCTTGAAAGATGGCTCGCTGGACAAGCTGGTGAGCAACATGCCAGAAGAAGGCAAAACAAGCACAGAGAGCAGTGACACCAACGCAGCAGCAGGAGCGGCAGTTAGTGACACGCCTGACAAAGGCAAGTCCATTGCGGATAGCAGCGCAAGCAAGACAGCATCAGCAGCGAGTGGAGGTGCCGGTGTGAATGCTAAAGCGCGTGCGAACCTGTTGAGTGGCTTGAAAGACGGCTCGCTGGACAAGCTGGTGAGCAACATGCCAGAAGAAGGCAAAGCACGCACGGAGAGCAAACCAAGGCAGCAGCAGGAGCAGCAGAGCCTGAAAAAGGCAAGGCCAGTGTGGATGCCAGCGCAAGCAAGGCAGCAGCGGCAGCGAGAGCAGGTGCTGGTGTGAATGCTAAAGCGCGTGCGAACCTGTTGAGTGGCTTGAAAGACGGCTCGCTGGACAAGCTGGTGAGCAACATGCCAGACGAGGGCAAAACAAGCACAGAGAGCAGTGGCGCCAAAGCAGCAGCAGGAGCAGCAGCTAGTGACACGCCTGACAAAGGCAAGGCCAGTGTGGATAGCAGCGCAAGCAAGGCAGCAGCGGCAGCGAGTGGAGGTGCCGGTGTGAATGCTAAAGCGCGTGCGAACCTGTTGAGTGGCTTGAAAGACGGCTCGCTGGACAAGCTGGTGAGCAACATGCCAGAAGAAGGCAAAGCAAGCACAGAGAGCAGCGGCGCCAAAGCAGCCGCAGGAGCAGCAGCTGGTGACACGCCTGACAAAGGCAAGGCCAGTGTGGATGGCAGCGCAAGCAAGGCAGCAGCGGCAGCGAGTGCAGGTGCCGGTGTGAATGCTAAAGCGCGTGCGAACCTGTTGAGTGGCTTGAAAGACGGCTCGCTGGACAAGCTGGTGAGCAACATGCCAGAAGAAGGCAAAACAAGCACAGAGAGCAATGACACCAAAACAGCAGCAGGAGTAGCAGCTGCTGCCACACCTGACAAAGGCAAGTCCAATGCGGATAGTAGCGCAAGCCAGGCAGCTTCAGCAGCGACTGGAGGTGCCGGTGTGAATGCTAAAGCTCGCGCGAACCTACTAAGCGGCTTGAAAGATGGCTCGCTGGACAAGCTGGTGAGCAACATGCCAGACGAGGGCAAAACAAGCAGAGAGAGCAGTGACACCAAAGCAGCAGCTGACAAAGGCAAGTCCATTGCGGATAGCAGCGCAAGCAAGGCAGCGTCAGCAGCGAGTGGAGGTGCCGGTGTGAATGCTAAAGCTCGTGCGAACCTGTTGAGTGGCTTGAAAGATGGCTCGCTGGACAAGCTGGTGGGCAACATGCCAGAAGAAGGCAAAACAAGCACAGAGAGCAGTGACACCAAAGCAGCAGCAGGAGCGGCAGTTAGTGACACGCCTGACAAAGGCAAGTCCATTGCGGATAGCAGCGCAAGCAACGCAGCATCAACAGCGAGTGGAGGTGCCGGTGTGAATGCTAAAGCTCGCGCGAACCTACTGAGCGGCTTGAAAGATGGCTCGCTGGACAAGCTGGTGAGCAACATGCCAGACGAAGGCAAAGCAAGCACAGAGAGCAGTGACACCAAAGCAGCAGCAGAACTAGCTGCAACTGGTGATGCACCTGGCAAAGACAAGAATGGTGCCGACAGCAATGACGGCAGAGCAGTTTCAAGTGCAGATGCCGATGTGAAAGCTCAAGCTGACAGCACGTTGTCGTCCGGCTTGCTAGAAGACGCTGCCGGTCCCACGCCGGCTACTTCACCAGGTGATGTAAAGGCGATGGCTGCGCACAACAAATAAGTTAAGTCGCAGCACTCTTAGTCGATGTTTACCTGATCCGCTTAGCCCAAGACCCCCAACCCTGAACACAGAACCTCGTTAAAGTGTGAGCGGCGAAGCATTAGACCGCTACGAGTAGTTAACTAGTTCCGAAACCCTAGCTAGTATGCTTTCGATTTCTACAAAGCTGGCAGGAACCACGCCTTCGTGTCGTTATCAGGTGGTGCCTAGTTTTCTACTGCGGTCTGCATGGTTCTTACAGGAGTATGCCCTTAACTCACAGCCCCCACCACCCTAAACTTTCAACTATAAACAAAACCCCATAACTGTAAGCCATCCCCCTGCAGCCCATCTGCACTAAATCTTCAGGCCCCTGCAGGGTGCAGGATAGGGGCTTCCTTGAAGAGATTTTCTGTAAGGCTTCTACAAGGGCCAACTGAAATTGCTATTCCTTGGACTTTCGGGCCTAGTTATCTAGGGTTCAAGTGTAGGCTGTAGGCTTGATTGATACTGGTAGGTTCAATAGGTGCTGGAAAACATGTGGGCGGTTGTCAAAGTTATGATCCCTTTTTAGATCCTTAATATAATACGGCACCTAATATTTAAGGTACCCAAAAAGGGACCCTAATTTTGACAACTACCCATGTGTTCCCAAAACACCCTGTTAAAACTGAACACGTAGCATTGCGCAGGTCCGCCTTGCACCCGGCGACACGACAGCCGGGACGGGAGGCCCATGCTCAATGCGGGCTTCGTTCAGGGGCCCAGAGAGGCCAATACCCCTTAATTATGGAATATGGCTTAAGCTATATAGGGCTTCATATTATGATTTAAGCTACGCTCCTTAATTAAGGGATATTGGGCTCTCTGGCAGGGTTCGAATGGTGTGTACGGGGTAGCTTGAGGCATCGACAAGGGAAGGTCCTTGCCGCTTCACAGTATTCGGCTATATTCGGCTCCTCTACGCTGCTAGGTGCGGTCCCGAGATGCTGCCTGGAGTCGTGCTCCCACCACGATGCCGAAGCGTAGTCCTCCACGGTCCTGTGCATCTCCGCCTCCCGAAATGGTGCGCCAGCCACTGTGGCGTGTATAGTTTGGGTGTTCGACGTGTTTCCCGGAGAGCCCCATACCCCTTACTTAAGGAACATGGCTTAAATTATATAGATATAGGGCTTCATATTATGATTTAAGCTATACTCCTTAATTACGGGGTATTGGGCTCTCTGGGTTCCTCATCCTTTGCATCGGTGCCGCTGCCACGGTCCCGTGCTGACTTGGGTGGGACTCGTGCCCATGCCACAGCACGATTCTCACTGTGAACTCATGGGTGGTCTTGGCAGGTAATAGTAGGATCCCAGGTGCCCCATGTTACTGATATAATAATATAGTCTATCATCCTGTACATCCGTTTCATAGCACCCCATCGTATAAGCAGCCAGGCTTCTAGCGAATGACGAGCACTGCATGTACTAGAGGGGTCGGAAGAATCACTAACAGTAGTCCCCTAACTATAGTACTACGGTAGATCACCTAAACCCGTCGATGACACGAGACTATGAGTATGGTATATTCCGTATTATGGGTACCGCAGAATTTGCTCCAAAACCTTGTTCTTTCCTGTTCTCAAGGGCCTTAAACAAATTGGTTCCAGAGGCATGTCTCCTTCCACCACTTCACCTCGAGGCCCACTTCGGGGAGTGGGCGGGCGCTGTAAGGAGCGGTTTAGGGTGCATCTTCCAAGCTGTCAGGTAGCAAAAGCCCTTTGGCGCTACAGAGACACCCAAATGATAAATGCACACCGCTGCTTCAGAAGCGACTCTCCGTGGACAAGGGCTAAAAACTGGGCCCTGATAATTGTAGTCCGTCAAGAAAGCTTGACTTTCTAGCACAGTAAACTGGATGTTGTCGGTTTTCTTGTGGTTTTTGTTGGTTTTGTTGGTGTTCAGTTTCGAAGTCGTTTTGTGGAATGCCAGGCAGTGCAGACAACGGCGAGCCCGGGGAACCCAAACAGGTCCTTGCGTGGGCTTCGGGGTGTTCCCTCATGGACCTGCAGCGCTTTTGCTGACTGCGTCATAAGCGCAGAAATTTTCGACGGCAGACTTAGGTTTCAAAGGCCTCGGAGGTTCAGTCTTTAAGAAGCCTTCCTAGCGAGAACCCTTCATCTGCACATCTTCAACCCCTTGGAAGCCTCAGCCTTTCCGAGAGGACCTCCGCAGTCTGAGACGGAAGACACGGCAGTCACGGTTTCAGCAGGTGTTCCTTGAAGTGCTATTGATTTTTAAGGGTTTAGGGGTCTAGGCGTTTAGGGTTTGCGAATCCGAGCTTAAAAAAGGTGTTTAGGGTTTATGATTGGTTCTCCTTGTCCAAGGACCTTGATAATCTGAAACAAGCCGTTTCGCCAAATCCAAAAAAACACTCACCTACTAGTAGTCACATACACCATGTCTTAGGGTTCCGATCATAATTCTATGTATTAAGAAGGCACTTACCTTCTACCTCACTGCTCTCTCATGCCTTGAACATGAATGAAAGACTTTACCCGACAACCCTGCATGTTTACTCCAAGCAGAAAGAATGCAACTCAACACATAGTGGCAGAAGTAAGACATAGAAAGGCCGACTTGGTCGCGGCCGGTGTCCATAATATGGGAATTTCCGAATCTAGTGGACCCAAATACAGCATGCTAAATCGTAGGATCCTTGTTATATGGACCCCTAAACAAGGCACCCCTAAATTTTCGGAAACTCTTGTATCTATCCATCAGCCTCGACTATAGACCTTAGCAGCTTAGCAGATGTCTCGGTCGCCTGCAAGGAGCAGGGTTTGTGACAGGCCAACCTGATGCGTGACAAGAAGCCGGTTGATAATGTTGATTATGGTCTGCTGTTCGACTGGTAGGCTGGCGCGGCTTTCGGAGTGTGAAACTGCATTATCGCATCCGACAGTTGTCATGCGTGAACGATCGGTTTCATTTCATGAGCTCACTATCCCTCATCTAGAAAGTTATGCTGTCTGGTCTGCCTCAGCCTCATGAAATGAAGTATACTAGCATACTGTGAGGCGCCGAGGTCTGAGGGATGGTTTACATGACGGTGTTGTTGGATGTACGTGACAACGTGGAGCTCCTTGGGTATGGGGAGCTGCTAGGGTGTAGTTTTGCAAGCGTGTATGGCGCGTCCTTGTGAGGCATCTGCGTATGTCACCCTGAAGGGCCTCAAGACCAAAGTTCCAATCCCTGCAAACCCTACAAGCCCTCTAAACCCTACAGACCCTACAAGCCTATAAGCAGTGAACCCTAGCCTTCTTTGGGGTTCGTTGGCTGCCACGAATAATTCTCCATGTCTTAGCAGAGTACCGACTACCAGGAGCACTAGACGGTAATACGTCCATGATGGATCGAACGGGCTTACCATCATGTGAACCCAATGGATTCAGTTTCTTCTATGTCGACTATGGATCTAAGGGGCTTGTTGTTTGAAAACCTGAGGTTCCTGCAGAAGCCCGACAAGCGCGAGTCCGTCCAAAGCCGGGCATCTGGAGCTCGGCCATCCAATCCCGATGAACCGAAACTGGGCTTTTCCAGAAATCATAAGGGGCCTTAAGGGGGGGTAAGGGCCTTTCATACCTATAACAAGGGCTTAATAAGGCCTGTTTAAGGAAGTATTGTCCTCTACCCCCTTCCCCCCTACCCCCCTAAGGGTCCCTATGAAGAAGCGCCGAGCAAAATCTACCAGGACCCCCCAATGGCCCCTTCACAGAGCCCTTGTATGGTTCTTAGTGGTGGGTATGTTGGGTATACTAGAGGGTAGTTGAGAGGTCTAGGTAGACGGTAGACCCAGCCGGCCCTTCTCCATCAGCCACCTCCTGGGTCGGGGCTTTCGCGGCTTGGTACTGTTCACTTCAGGTGAGCCTTTACATACTGCGGGCACCTGGGAACTAAATAGATCTCTTGGCTTCGTCCAGTTGGTCTTGACGCTGGTTGGTGACGCTTGTCGTTGGCGGCACTGGCAACATCGGTGCGAAAGGTGCCGCGAGTACGAGATGGAAACGCAGAGAAGAGGCCACATCGCGGAAGCGCCGCGCAAGGTAACCCACATTCTGATACCCACTGGTACCGGTTTGGTTTGCAGGACCAGCGGCGGGCGACTCGAAAGACGAACTGTCGCAAGTCTGGTGTGGTTCGACAAGATGTACAACTTCATTCTCGTGGAGTTTCCAGCACAGGAGGTTGCAACGGATGCGAAAGGAGGGACCATTCAAGCTTGAGTGTCAGGACCGAAGCCCAATTGCGTCTCCTTCATTTTGAACCGTTTCACGCCAAAACGCCCTTTGTTCGGCTTTCCTCGAAGAGGTTTGCGCCAGCAGAGTGTTGGGAATGAAACTGCGCAGATTTCACGAATGAAACAGTTGGGGTTAGGGTGCTTGAGACATTGGTTGAAGCAATGTTTTGGTGGAGCCTTGAGGTCTTATGAGATTGTCAACCGCTGAGTCTGCAGCATGTTGAGGATTTTATTGCCTTCTGTTGGCTGGTCTCGCTTACCTGTCGTCGGAGCTTCGTTTGCGTACTGCCCTGCTGCAAGAGCGCGGCAGGAGAGGTGGGGGGGGGCGGGGCGGGCGAAAAATGCAGACCAGGGCTTGTGGGTGGCGTTGCTTTGGTGGTATAATGGAACGCGGATTTACTTAAATTGCAAAAGAGTTGCAATCCGAAGTTGCCCCCCGGGCGAGAATGCATTTCAAAATGCCAGTTTGTGCGCACGTGCATTTTCCAATCGCAATTTTGTTGCATTTTTTTTGATTTCAGGGTCCTAGCACACCACCATAGTCGCTAGGCAGGGCATGGCACATCGGCGTCAAGTGTTGCATGACTGCCAGGGACTGCTGGATGTTTTGCAGAGCGTCCATTTGCATGTTTGTTAGTTTGGCCCAAGCATCGACTGGTCGCAACAGCACTCTTCGATTCTCGGATGCAAAAGTATCGAGTTTTGGGGAGGAATTTGCAGTACGGGAGATTCTTTCGTGGACATCCGGCTTGAAAGGTTCCGCCAGCTTCAAGCCGGTTTTAGCAGTACGTACTTGGTTGGTTCCTGACATGAGGGTTTATGGTTGACAGTTGCTGCGCACACGTGTTTTTATTCGGCATATTGATGCTCGTAAAACAAGCATTACCACCTTCGGGCGTGCACCCCGAACTTTGAGCCCTCATTTAAAGCTTGCCTGTATGAGCCCTTACAAAACTCCTCAGAACTTTCAGAAACCCATAATCTGGAGAATCCGCCGAGCAACGAAGGAGTTCCCGACCATGGCGTTTCGAGCAGCACTGGCGGCCTTCTTGCCATTGGCAGCGGCCGACGCTGTGCCGGGTTTCGTTTTGGGTTTATGGAGGTTTAACATTTAGATTGGTTTGTGGCTGTATTGGTTTAGGGGGTTTTTTGTTTATAGTGATTCAGGCTAATCAGGGTTGTAGCTTAACAGGTTCAGGGGCGAGGTTGGGGTTGGTTGCTGCCCGTCGTGAGGCATTAGCTGGTGTTTTCAGAAGGGTGCGAATCGTAACTAACTATCGTAACTACATGAGAAGAATTGCAAAACCGTGGGCGAGAGGTAATTGCACATGTACCCGCGTGGAAGCCTTTGATAACCCCAAACACCTAGCAACATGTGCTAGTTTCCAAACTGACAGAACACTTCCTTCCCCGAGGAGAAATATGCTGTCATCGCAGCGGGCTCGGCAGGCAAAAAATGGGATCGACTGCTGTGGGTAAGGCATGTCTTACGCATTGAATCGCTACGTGTAGTCTTCAACAAGTTAACAGGACACTTATTGCCCGTTCAGGCTTGGTGTTGATCTCTATTTTTGCATGAGGTTATTGCCGAGTGAAAACACTGCGCAAGCGCCAACAAACAGATGGTGTCGAATTCACATCGCATGGGATTTGTTCCAATGATCTTGACTCAAATCCAAAAACCCGAGTCATGTGAGACAAACAGCAAAACACGTTAGGTCTCAAGAGATTATCACCAGTACGTACTTGTCCCGAAGCATCAAGAGGGGTGTCTAGACATAGATGCCCATGTTTTTACTTCACATGTACATGTGTATGCACGTATGTTAATGTGTATGCATATATGTACATGCATGCTTGGGCATAGGTACAGACATGTTCATGCATACATTATATGCATCTATGCATGTATGTTTGTATGTATGTATGCAAGCATGTAAGTACGCACACATACATATGACCATGTACAATAGGCACATACTACATGCACGGTTGCTTACATCTGCACGCGTTTATCGGCATCGAGCCCTAGAACTTAGAACTCCGATCCACTGCTTGCAGATGGGGTTTTGGGTTTTTTGGTGCTTTGGTTGCAGACAAACCGATTCAATTAGTTTTTTTGCTTCGTTTACGTGTGCCATGGATGCGAACCCGAAACTCCAGAACCCTAAGTTCATGCAATGTAAAACAAAGGGCATGTCCCAAAAACCGGTTGAAGGACTCTAAACTGAAGTCGATGCAGTTCTCTGGACGACAAGAAGAATTGTCAAACGTCGCCAGTGTCCCCGGTATAGACACCGACCAGAGCAGCATGTCTCCTATGTTTTGCTCCTGCCAGGCTTCATGAACTACCGCCATCAGGCAGATGCATGCCATGCCTACCACCTCATGCTGAAGAGCGGCGTGCCGGCAGACAACATCATCCTCATGATGCAGGCCTTCAAGTCGTTGTGACATTCACAACCCACGAAAAGTCTGGGGTACACGGACCTGGGCATAGTACATGGGAGTTCTTGAACATGTCCGGTGATTTGTCCCCTAGCCTCTGTTGTTACAAACTCGAAATCTCAGATAAAAGTTGCGACTGCAGATGTTCGCAGTAGCAGTCGCACACCTGCCGCGATCAGCGGTTGTGAGTCGGCCGGGCATTAACAAAGTTATAAGTAGGATACCCAGCTCAGGGCACTTGTACCCACTACGTCCCTTGGTTCTCGAAGTACTCAGTGCCTTAACCCCTAAACCCTAAGCCTAGCCCTAAACTCTAAACCCTAAACCGCCCAACCGAAGGACGATGTGGCGAACAGCTCGGAGAACCCTTTCCCGGGCCAGCTCTTCAACAAGCCCGGCGATGACTCGCCCGATGTGCCTTGGCCACGGTTTGGATTCGGGCTTATGGGTTGATCTTGGGGGGGTTGGGGGGTTATAGGGTCTAGGATACTTGGGATTTAGGGTTTAGGGTTTCAGAGTTTTTGTTGAGGGAAGAGGTTCGGGATTTGGGGTTGAGGATTCATGGTTGGGATACTGTTGAGGGCTTTCAGGCTTTGGGCGCTGGCACAAAAGAGCCTTCCAAGGATGGCCTTTCTCCTGTGTCATAGTTGGGTAACACTGTACATGTTTATGGGTACCTAAACCCGATAAGGAGTAAACATGTACGTTGTTGATGCTATCCCAACCATGAACGTCTCGTCATTGCATGGACAAAAGCTACTTGACCTCGCCCACTGAAAGATGTGTGCTTATTTAGTATAGTACCTGTAGGCTCGTATGTCATGGATGTGCCGATCACTCGGTGAGAGTTAAGGGCCATGGCCCAGTCCTAATACAACTTCAGTCATTTGTTCTTTAACGGGTCATTCCCTGCAATCCAGCTGTCATAGTTTGCTAAGTTATACAGGGTGGCAGGGCTGCTTGCATACTGCTGGTTATAAATGCTTGCAAGACGTAGGAGCATGCTACACGAACCAGTTTGCAGAATCATCGGTTTAGGGTTTTGGGAGGGCGGTCATCAACCTACGACCCCGCGCTGCTATTAACCAGGATGAACCATCGAAGCGAGCACTTGAAATATGTTGTTCACACTCTAGCTCAAGCATGGGGACTGAGGGATGTTTCGAAAGGTTAAGCTCATGACCCGATTTCCTGCACACCAGCACACCTTGCTTGCAAGCTACCATCAACAATGCCAGACCAGGAATGCCAAGCTCCAGCCAAGCACCATGCTTGTAGAGGCGAACACATCCCTGATTTGAGTATCCTGTTCTGAGGGATCCTGCCGCGTTTCCTTCAAAGACCCCGGTAGGGCTTTCAACAACAGCTCAGTAGCAAGTGCTTTTAGTCTTTTAGTCGCTGGAAGATTGCGAAGATGTAGGGAATAGCACGGTATTCCCGAAAACACACCCGTCCTTGAAGCCGATTTGCGAAATACTCAAGACTCCTTTAATGCTATGGGGGTGCCTAAACCACTACTAGTACCAACACCATTTTTGGGGTGGCCCAAAGCCCTATTCTACTTGTTAAATGCCCCTATATTAACCTGGTATTTGGGATCGAGGTTTGGAATTCTGGTTGCGCCTGCTCTCACCAAGCTCACGATTCCCGCGTAATCCGACAATCCAAAGCTCAATCCCCGAGAACACCGAATCTGAAGATCAAGCGAAAGCCCTGAAAACCTTCAACCCTGTAGCGCTAAACCCTAAAGCCCTGTCACATGAGAGCCGATGCAGCTTAAACCCTAAACCCTAAACCGAGGTCTACAAGGGCTGCAAGGTGGACTACTCTGGGGACGCACCTCGGCAGTTTGCCAGAGAGAAGAGTGATTGGGGTCTATGGAATTTGGGGTTGAGGATGTTTAGTTTTTAGGGTTGAGGTTTGGGATGCTTAGGTTTAATTCAAGGGTTCCGGGTTGAGGGTTCAGGGTTTAGGGGTGTATAGCGTTTAGCGGCTAGCGACCATGGCTTATCACATGTCCCTTGATTCCCCAAGTGCAGTCCTAAACTGCTCCAGAACCCGCGTGTGTCACAACAACTTCCCGAATGCAAGCAAGAAAAGCTATAGCACGAACAACTGTCGCAAGACTGACAACTCCAGAAATTTGGGTGCCTTCGCAGATCGTGACCGGCCAGCTGTTCATGGACGTCCTTACTGGCAACACTGAGGGCGCCAAGGGCAAGGCATGTCTTTGCAGGGGTTGAGGGTACAAGTTGCAGGTCATCGGGCTGGTCCGGGCTTAGCTCAATCCCTGTAAACCTGTGACCCTATAAACTTCAGAATTTCAGGGTTTGAGATTATGCTAAGCTACCTGTATGTAAGTTTGTGTATAGGTTTGTAACATACATACATACATACATACATATGCAGAGGGTGTATGCATGCATGTATGTATATACCCCCACACACACACACACACGTACAGTATATTGACAGGTTAGGCTTAGCTACTCAGAACCCACGGGGCAAAACGTGTTGACTCATGACTGTCGCAGGTGCTGAAGAGCGGTGCAAGCGACACTGTCTTCGTGAATTTCGTGGACCACGGAGGCATCCGGTTGGTTGGGCACTTCCTGCAAGAGATTCGAAGGAAGAACACTGCGACTGCTACAGTTGCGTAGGACCAATACAACACATACTCCTAAGCGAAAGTCAAAAGCCTACACCTTGATTTCGGTGCATCATATTGCACACCTAAATTCCAAACCCTGCGTGTCGCCCAAAAGCTAGCCTAGTCCCTAAACCCTAAACCCTAAACCCAAGCTAGCCTAGTCCGGGCATTTCCCTCCAGAGTAGGGTTGCTTGGGTATCAGGGCATCCTAACACTCTAAAGGGAACTCCAGAAAGTTGGAATATGGATTAATGGTAGGATCCCCTTTAATTTACCTTAAAGGGGTTACGATAATGATATTCCAACTTTCTGGCTTTTCCTGTATACGGATAGAGAGCCATAAATCATGACTTGGGTTTCCAGGTTTTGTGGCTTTGGGGTCTTGATGCAGGATTTCAGGTGATTTGGGATTTTCGGTTCAGGGTTTCGGGTTTGGGATGGGGTGTGGTGTGTTTTTAAGGGGTTCAGGGCAGTAAGATTTTCGGTTTTGGGGTTCAGGTTGAGCCTTCAGGGCTTTCCGGTTCAGGGGCATTGGGCCTACGGTTGATGATATAAATCCTGCATTACCCATGATAAGGAATATGCCATAATTCCCATAGTTTAGGGTCCTTACTTATTAAAATGCAGGAATTATATCATCAACAGTAGGTCTAGGTTCCAGAAAGGAGGTATGGAGGGACGTCGAGGCATTTTAGGAGCCCTTCGCCGTGGACATCTTCTGTATTCTGCCCTAAACCCAAATTCAAATGGTGGCAAGTTTTTTGGAGTACATGTGTGTCTGTTCAGCCCTAAACCGCAAACCTTGTCCAATCCCGTCTCCCCGGCAAGGCAGTCTTTCGCCGTACTTGGAGGATCATGGGACTTAGTACGTCGGATTATAACCCCTCTTACTCTACTTACTACAAGCCGCCTGAACCTCTCAGTGCCCAGAGCGCCCAGTACCCCTTAATTAAGAAATATAGCTGAAATCACAATATGAAGCGCTTTATACTTTAAGCCATATTCCTTACTTAGTGGGTATTGGGTTCCCTTAACCCCTAAACCCTGTAGATCCCCGTAAAGGAACCCTAGCTATTTCTTAATTAAGGGCTACTGGGCATTCTGGGTAAGCCTTACATCGGCATCCCCCCAGGCCCTGGCATCATTGCCTTCCCCAACGGCCCTGTGCTGACCGTGAAGGCCAGGGAGGGGGTGGGGAATTTGGGGTTTGTGGGTTACTACTATTTGCTTAAGAAACCCCAAAAAAATAAAAATAATAATCCCTATATTACCCCCATAAGGAATATATATTTTTTATTTTTTGGTGGTTCTTAAGCAAATAGTAGGTTAAGGGTTCGGTTCTACTGTTAGGAGCTTAATAGGGTTAAGGGTTGAAGGAGCCATGTGTAGACCCCGTAAAATCCCGTAAATCCTCATGTTTTCGAAGGGGCTATGGTTCATGGTTTAGGGTCCAAGCTAGCGTTGACCTGGTAGCTAGAATCTACTGCAAATCTGGTTCATGCTTTCGTCCTTTGGGCCACGACGTCTTTTTGCGGTGTTCGCGGACTTAGGTTGAGTGGTTCCGGGAAACAAACAAGTAGTTCCAGGCATAGCTGAGTTACGATATCATAAACACGACATCGGAGGATTTGCAAGTGCGGCTTTGAGGATTGTTTAGGGTAAAGTGACCACGCTCTTTATGATCCCAAGATCCGGTGCTGTAGCGGCTGCTTTTCAACTTACGTCTGACAAGTCTCTCGCGTGTTCGGAGGGTCAGGGAGGTGATAATAAGTAGAGTCATAAGTGCCCTTAACAGGATCCTAGTTGGGTTTTTGATGCCAATACACTAACTACTTACCAAGTCCTCGACCCTCCAAGTAGCTTACCTTGCCAGCTGTCCGTACATGGCTGTGAGGACCAAAACGGGCATTGATACACAGGAGCTCAAAACTCTCAGCCATAGTGGATGTGCATGCTTCTCAATCTCCACCTGCAGGAGCCCTAAAAGAACCCCTGCAGAACCCTAGAACCCTTGTAGAACCGGCCCCTGTAAACAGTTGTCGTACACCCGTTGAGCTCCCAGGAGCTTTCCAAGACACTGAAGACAATGCAGAGCAAGCACATGTTCAAGGAGATGGTCTTCTACATGGATCTTTGACTGCCAGTATGCTTGGCTCTGTTGGATCTTTCCTGAGCATCTGTATTCCGCTCGAGCTCTTGATCCGCTGATCTTGCTTGGCAAGTCGGTTATGAGCAGAGTTATAGGTTATAAAAAAGAGAGAGAGAGAGAGAGAGAGATATATATATATATATATATATATGACTCCGCTTCTCGCTGCCCCATCAAGATCCCTCTCCCTCCCGGCAGTCCCGAAGTGTAAGACATCCAAGGAAGCCTGCGAAAGTGGCTCCATGTTCCCAGACCTCGAGAAGGCCTCTTCATCTGGGATGAAGGTTTTTTTTATATACCTTAAATCATAAGATTAAGGCCCCTATAAGTTAAGGTATATTCCCTAGTTAAGGGGAATTGGGGACTAGCGTTTCGGGTACAGCGCCAAGGGTTTCACATCTGGCCGATGCCGCACAAGCGCTTGCTTGTGAAAGCAGGCCTCAGCCCCATCCTTGGGGACCAAAATGAGGGACCCTTAATAAGGACCCCTAGGTATATACCCCCAATATAGCTATTATATACCCATTATATAGCCCATTATAGGGTAGGGGTCCCCATAGGGTAGGGGTCCCCATTCCTTGGGGACCAAATGACCCTTACAAGTAGGGGGCCTATACCCTTATACTATGAATCCCTATAAGGTATATGAACCTGAAAACCTTTTAAGGTTCAATTCGTCCCTAAGGATGGAAGCCTTTTTAAACAGCAGTCAGGTTTACGAGAGTTTTGGGCTGTAGAGGAACGTGCGAAAGATCAATATCTATGAATCGCAGGCTTTGGGACACGCAGTGGAACAGACTCGTTCTGTTTTTTGCCGATGTCCATTCATCTCTTGCTGGATAATCATTGCGATGAGGGCAGCGTGACTTCCTGGCCATTTTGTTGTGTTCCACGGTGTGGATTTTGCGGAAACCTCAGAATCGCTCTTGAATATTTATGCCTGTGTATGCATGCATGCATATGCAACTCGTGTCTGCATTGCTGAAAACCCGTTAACATTCCGAAGTACTATTCCAGTGGACCTTTCAAGACGATGGCCTCCCGGGGGCTTTATGTCGGATTTAGGAATGGCAGGCTCCGAAGGTTTAAATGCCAAGGATTTTTGGATGTAACTCGCCACAATGATTCAGATATTCAGGTTTGAGCAACATGACATCTGGAGGTCTATGATTCAGCACTAAGGGCTTCAGCAGCGTATGCCGCAACTGCAGCCGGCAGGACTCCAAGATTTTGGCCGTGACGGCTTCCAACGCAGATGCACCTCGGGTGATTTATTAGGGTTTAGATTTCCTAGATATCAAACTGCAAGCCCTGCTGGGGTTACGCATTCCTTTCGGGATCCCGGAGAGTCCAAGTGCCTATACAGGTGTATAACATGCAGTAAAGATTTCTGGCCTTGAAGGGGTTCTGCTATACAGGTATACATTTAGGGTCGATGAGACTACTGTACAGGCACATGGGCCCTACCTACAGGCTCCATAGTAGTTCCTTTTCGGGATGCATATGTAGAATCCTATAAGGTAATCCCAAGATGGCACGGCAGAGAGAGAGAGAGAGAGAGAGAGAGAATCCCAAAAAGGAACTACTCTGGAGCCTCTGGGTAGAAGGGTTCCAGGATCTACAGCTTCCCTGCCTGGGCAAGGTCTGCGGACCCGATTCCTCAAGTGCCGCAGCTTCCCAGAGACCCCAAAGTCCCGTAATTGAGGATAATGTCCCTTACCTCAGAATAAGGGTATCCTAGATGCATTTAAGGTATAGTCCTGAATTAATATCTATAATTTAAGGTATAGTCCTCAATTGAGGGGTTTGGGAGTCGCAAACTCTAGAATTGTCGGCTAACGGCAAAAATGTTGGCCTCAGGAGTCGTCGTGGGGCACATACTGTGGCAGCTTGGCTTCAATTTCCGGCTTTCGGTTTCGGGTTCAGGTTTTCAGGCTTTCGGGTTTCAGGTTCAGGGTTTAAGGGTTTCCAGCATTTTCGGGTTTACTAGACCCTAGACCGTTCAGACAAGAGGAGAGTAGATGCTCCACTTTTTGTGGTGTTGTTCTTTATTAGTTCCTTTATGTGGCGACGGAAAGGGACGGCAAGGACTGTGGGCTTGAGGAGTCTGGGGGATCTGGCATTTGACTAAACCATGACCACAAAACTCTAATAGCCCACCTCTTGAGGGTTCCCTAAGACACATTCAGTCAAAGGGGAAAAGGAGGGACCCTTAATGGGGACCCCTACCCTATAATGGGCTCTTTAATGGGTATATAACAGCTATATTCAGCGTATATCCCTAGGGGTCCTTATTAAGGGTCCCTCCTGTTACCTTTGGATTCAGGAGCCAGGATGATTTGCCTGAAATCATGGGCTAGCGCGCTCCCGGAAGACATTTGAGCATGAAAGAACAGTTTTGCACACTTGGAGGGTCCAGGGACTTGGTATATCAGGTTGTAAGTACCGTATTAGGGTCCTAAGTAGATGCAATTAGTTAAACTAACTATTAACTACTTGTAACTATAGTTACCTTACCTACAGCTTATGACCCTACCTACTAAGTCCCCCGAACCGCTGAAGTCTTGGGCCCGAGTTCCGCTGGCAAGCCTCGTCCAAGGTGATGCCGCCATGGTGAAGGGCAAGAACGTGGGATCTTGTTTCTCATTCGCAGAGTGCAGAAATTGCAGCCATACCTTTGCGCTCCCACTTTGATCGTAGTTAACCGCTGGATGGCGTCAGCGTAAAACACGCCGTCATCCCAATCCCCAAAGCCCAAAGCCGATTTGAGACCCCAAAATGAGGCTTGGGTGACCTCTTCTCGGTGAACTGGATGCAGGACACCGTCTGCTATACGCCGAAATTACGACGAAGATTGGGCTGCTTGCTGCCGCTGATTGCGGGATGGCGACGATGGTGATTAGTCATGCTCGTACGTACTGATGGCGCAAGCAACTTGCGATGATTGACGATGTTGATGCTGATGCTGCTCTCCTTGGTAGGGCAAAGTGCATGTGAAGGCTGATGTTGTTGGCTGACGATAGTGGTGCTGAGTGTTCTAATCGTTCTCGGTATCTGAACCTCCGCTGTGGTCACCATGACTTTGATGATGACCTGCAGGGTCGCCGCCGTAAACTCGGAACGAAAGCCGTGTTGGGTGCTTCCCCATAGCAGCTTCAGCAGTGCCAGCCGCTTGCATCGTCTTCCTGGTCATTCATGTTGCTGCTGCTACCAGCATCCGCAGTCGTCTCAACTCCAAACCCAAACTATCCTATAGCATGGGATAGTTTGGCCTGGTCCTTGGGCTTTTTTTTGCTCCCCAATCTGCTGTCCTACCTGTACCGAAAACTGCAGATTTGTTTTCTTACCTTCCCGTTTGGCATCCCAGGCTACAACCTGTTGTGGTTCGTAAAAACAAGATGTGTCTTTCGTTATGGATTGTACATGGCCTGTGGTCGTAAGGCAGGATATGGAAAGCACAGCGAGTCGCACGTCCCGGAAAATCCCAAAGCCTGAAGTTTCACAACCCGATCGCCTCATGCTTGAAAGCAGCAGGTTCAGTGGATTCGGGTTGAAAAGGCAATACATAAGATAATGTAATATAGGGGCCTTACTAATTACCTGTACTGTTTTGGGGGGTCCCTATTATAATTAAGTACAGTGGGCTCCAGACCCCTATTCTAATTATTAAGGCCCCCATATTATGCAATACCAGACGGGTAGTTTACGATGCCAACTTCCACTACACCGCACCAGGACGACGATCTCGGCAAGTTCTCTTCCGAGACATTCCGCAGTCAGATCGCCAAGGTGCAGCGACTTCTCTTTTTGCAAAGTTTACAGTAGGGGGGTTTGAGGACATTTCGATTGCCTTAAGGCAAATCTTGGTGCAGTCAGATCGCCAAGGTGCAGCGACGTCTCTTTTTGCAGATTTTACAGTAGGCGGGTTTGAGAACATTTCGATTGCGGAATTAATGCAAATATTGGGTGGATTTGAAGGACTGGTACTACTCGCAAAGACTTGGCTTGCTTGCGCGGGTCCGAACGTGGATATCCTATTATATATAAGGGTTTCGATTCGTCATGGTTTTGTCATTCATAGCTTCATCCAACCCTAAGCCCACGGCCTTGGCAGGTTGATGGGCTTAGTTAAATGGCTTAGGAAAAGTCTGGCGTCTGCCATGCTCGAAAGGTCAAGCTTTGCAATTTCCAGTGTAGAGCTTCAGAGCTTCAGCTGTAAGATCCAGGGTTTTGATATACGGTCTGGGGTTTAGAGCTTTGTGGAGGCTCTTGTGGCGGGGTGGTGTGGTTTAGGGCTTATGATGTAGGCTTCAGAGCTGTAGGTTGTAGGGCGGCATTCGGGTTCAATACCGAGTTCAGGGCTTTTCGAGTTCAGAGGTTCTGTAAACCCCTAAACCCTAAACCCTAAAACCTAAACCCTAAAACCTAAACCCTTAAACCCTAAACCGTCTGGATGGACGAGCTTCGGGCTCCAGGTTTCAGGGTTCAGGCTTTCAGTGTGTAGCTTGTAAACCACACCCTCTACCTAGAGGCTCCATAGTAGTTCCTTTCTGGGGTTCATATGTAGAATCCTACAAGGTACTCCCAAAAAGGAACTACTATGGAGCCTCTGGTAGAAACCCTGTAGGTGCCTGGTCCAGGATTTCGGGTCAGGGTTTAGGGCCTCGATGATGAGGCCGGATTTCGGGTTCAGGGATCTCACGCCCAAGGTCACATCTGGATCCTTCTGCTTACTAACATCCCCGTGTACTCCCTGTGATAATTACATGCCTTACCTAAGCCCTACTCCAGTTATAACGGCTCAAGTATAGGAGTTTCCGAAAATAGGGGACCCTAATATAGTACCCTAAATAGTAGGATCCTTATTATAAGGCCCCCCAAAAAAGGTACCCCCGAATTTTCGGAAACACCCTAAACCCTAAACCCTATAGATCCCTTATAGGAACCCTTAAAGGATCCCTTTAAAGGGACCCTGTGGCAGCCCCTAATTTTCACCCTACTCCAGTTATAACGGCTCAAGTATTGATGCAAGTATCCACAAAGCAGGACTTGCGGAGCCCTAGGGGGGTTTGGGGTTTAGGGTTTAGATGGCAGGTGACAAAGCTGACCAACAAGAGCCACGTTTGCAGTCCCTTGGCGAACTAAGCGACCTAAATCGGATTTTGTCATAGGGAGCCAGGGCTCCTTCAAGGGTTCGCTGAAGGGATCTGTAAGGGTTTAGGGTTCACAAGTTTGGGGTTTGTGAGTGCTGGATCGAGGGTCGATGGCTTTTGGAGAGGAGGTTCGGCCGGCTTGGTGTTGTTGATTTCGAGGCTTGGGAAGCTTAGGGCCATGAAGGAGTCGTTATGTTCGGGTTTGATCCTCAGAATAAGAAGTTCCGTATGGTTTACCATTTGTATTCGCCCTCAACACAAGAGCCGAAGGTGTTGAGGGCGAATATGTCGGGTTTTCCAGGAGTGAAGGCATGTCCCCCATCTTCTATGATACAGATCAACACTTTGCTGGGGCGCAGGGCCTGTTTGTAATAGTGCTTCGGTGCAGTTTTCTGTTTGTGGTTTAGAGTTGAGTATGGGTGGTGAGCGGCTTTCAGGGGCAGAGAAGCTTTAAGGTCTCGTGAGGTCTCATGAGCCACTGTGTCATTGAAGGCTTCGGTGACAAGTCCTTCGTGGATGACACCATCGGAAGCGTTGAGACCACAGGTGGGAGTGGAGAGCTTTGCGTTGATGATTTGTGTTGTGCTTGTTTTTTTTGGGGTTCTGCTCGGACTTTGTATAGGGGTGAGCGCTTCAAGAGCAGGGCCTTGATGCTTTGTATAGCCTGTTTTGGGAGGGGAGGCGATATGTTATCCCCAAATCATTGTAGTGCTAGGAACTAATACTAGTGCCTATATGATTGGCTGGATCCCGGATGGTCGGACTGTAAATGTGCTAGACATGTCAGACGCCCTCACTGAGGTAAACCGGCGAACGCCGGTCCTGGAGACCTTAAACCCAGAGGGTTTTTAGGTTCGGGTTTAGGGTTTAGGACCCAGAGCCCTGGCTTTGCTTGTACAGCTGGACAAGGCTTGAAACACCATGCAATTTGGCGAGTGGCAAAAGATTAGCCTTTCAACTTTCATGCGCATACCCTCAGTGCTCACGCGACCAAGAATGTCGCAAGCACCCACCAACCCCAAGCCCTAAAAATCCTGCACGCAAAGCCTCAAATCCAAAGTTCGAAGGCCGAAATCTGAAGCCGTCATCACGAAGTCCGAAAGC